GGCTCTGTCTTTGCGTCCGGGCAGACGACGACCAGCACGTCGTCGACTTCATCTAGCGAGGCGTGCTGGCCATGTATCGCAGCTTCTACTGCCCAAGAGTATAGACGGTGGTGACACTCCATGCACCGGTTGGCAGTGGTCTTCTTGTCATCTGTCTTCTGTTTTCCACTATCTGTCTCTCTCTCTCTCTCTCTTTCTTTTGCTCTGCCTCGTTATCTTTCTCTTTCTCTGTTGGGTGAACTTGGGCAGGCAACAACGACCACCACGTCGTCGACGTCATCCAGCGAGGCGCGCTGTCTATGCTTCGCAAGTTCTGTTTAGCTAGGGCACTGGCTAAACACAGCGCCATGTGGGTGCTTTACTTGGTCCTTCTTGGTGCAATCGTCACTCGCTACTGCCGGGCCCCTCCTGAACCCACTTGAGTCTGGCACGTCACAGATTGCCTGTGTACGCTCTGATTTGCCAGGGCCAACTGTCCTGCGGAGAGGGTCAGGACGTCTGCGCCGAAGTCTCCTTCGAAGATGGCGCCAGGCAACTTGATCCGCACGGCAACCGTAGGCCGTAGGCCAGCGCTGGACACTGCCCATTCTGGCTGGAGGATTCTGAACGATGTCTGCTTCTCCGCCCCGTGCCCGGTGCTGTGCGAGTCGGCCACGGCACGGAAGCCGCTCGCCAGAAGTTGTACCAGAGGAGGGGATGTCATAAAGACACACGCGCTTGAAGCTGGGCTAAGAAAACAGCCGAGGTGCCCAGGTGGGCCGCAAGGTGAGGAGTTCTGCCTGCCCATCGCTGACAACTGCCCCTTGCTCTGCGGGCCGGGTGAGGTCGAGTGCTACCTGGAGCGCCCGGGTTCCGTCATCGACTTTGTCACACGTCATATACATATAATATTATATATATATATATATGTAGCCTCATACAAATGTTTGTTCCTTCCACCTGCGGGACCACTGCGCGGATCGTCTGGAGATCGCCCTTTTACGCCCGCTGCCCTGAGGAGAACTTCGACGCCACGGGCCAGCGCCAGGAGGACTCGCTCCAATGCAGCTCCGGCGCAGCAAAGTCCAGAGTGAAGACACTTTTCGCACAGTCATTTTCCCACCCTTTTTCAGGCGTTCTGCAGACGGAACTGCCCTGCCCCTGCGGCCGCAACGCTTTGCGCTGCGTAGACCCCCGGCTGGGTGCAAGCTGCGTGGCAGTGCCTGGGCAGCCGGCAGTCTCATTTCACAGCTCATGGCACGAGACACATGTTAAATGTTGTGGCCAAAGCAGACGCATGCGGTCAATTCCGTCGATGCTGAACACGGTCCGGTCTGCACTTGACAGGCGACGGAAGACTGCCCGACCTCCTGCGACAGCAGCAGCCGGCTGTGCTTGTCGGCCTCCTTCACACCGGAAGGCGTTGGCTGCAGAGCCTCAATGCAGATCTCGCGTTCGCAGCTGCAGGTGCCTTCCAGGAGCTCCAGACCCAGTGCAGCGATCCTTCCCAGCCCGGAACCCACACGCCGGAGCGGTACTTTGCACGCTACTCAAGGAAGGAACGCAAGCGTCGCTTTCGGACTCTGATCATTCGTACCGGTTACGTGGCACTCAGCCAACTGATGAAAGCAGCTGCAAATCAGAGTTGGCCCATGTTGATGCTCCTATTAGGTCTAGAAAAACCTCGCTCGCTTGAGCGGTTGCTCCACGGCCTGGCGAGGCCGTGCGCGTGCGGGGAGAACGCCAAGCCTTGCAGCTGGACTGCCGCGTGGCTCGAGAACTAGTCGGAAATCGGAGATGCAGCTTTTTTGGGAGTTCAGCCTGTGCTGGCCAAGGACACCGATGGGTCGTGGGCTTAGCAACCCTGTACCCAGAGGGCAGGTTGGTGTGCACCACTTTCTGGTGTCTTCAGCAGAGGCTGAAGCGCGACGAGTGCTTCCCGACCGCTACCAACTGTCCGCTCACCTGCTCAAAGGCAGGCAGAAGCCTCGGTCTTGAAGAGCGGCTCTTCTGTGTAAACCCCTTTTTGCTTGCAGCTGCCTTGCTCGTCTGCCTGCTTTATTGTTGGTCTGAGGCCCCGTCTGTCCACGCCTCCTGTCTGCCTGCCTGCCTGTGTCTCTTTCTCTCTCTTTCTCTTTCGCCCTCTCCTTTTGTTCCATCTGCTCCTCTTTGGCTCCAGAGTCCTAGACTCCTTGCAGGTCTGCAGCATCGCAGTGCCTCGGTCCGAAGAGCCCTGCCCCACGCCAATCCTACGCTTCTTCGAGAAGACGGAACAGCGCTTGCTGATAGCCTAGACAGTTGCAGCATGTCGCGGCCCCTCCACCTCTGCTGTTCCTCCACGTTTGTTCCTGTCCGAAGTAGTATGCAGCTGTAATCACAAGCTCTTGGTCACTCGCACGTCCTTGTACCATGCAGCCGAGGACTACAACAGAAGCACTGGTGAGCTGTTGGGCGTGCGGCAGACCTGTGCGAACGAGAGCGATGCTTGCCCCTGCGGAGACTTCGCTTTCCGGTGCCAGGACAGCTTTGCCTCGATTTGTGAGAGTCAACTGTGATTAGACCCTGCCGGAAAGACTTGTCATTCGGCATGGATGTGCCATTAGCTCACCAGCTCAAACGTCAAGACTTGTGGAACTTCGCACTGTCCCAAGCTTCTTGTGCTACTGGATGAGACAGGACTTGTGCGTTCCGGGTGCCATGGCCGGTGATGCCTCAGAGACAGTTGTGTGGGGTTGCTCTGGCATCAGCGCACGGTCGACGAATCCTCGATACAACATTTTAAAATTCGATCACGAGAGTGACCTAGGTCTTCGCTGATTCCTTGCGTCTGGCAGTCATTGTCGTACGAGGTGTGGTCGCATTCAGCAGCAGATCGAACAGCGCATGGTTAAAAGGAGTCATGTGGGAGGACGCCTGCTAAGCCTATGCGTCCCTGGTGCTAGGGCGAAGATAGTAGCCTGCTGTGCAGATCGTCTCGGACCCCTCGTAACCCCTGTCGAATGTCGATGACACCGGGATATGGGGCGTTCTCAGCCAGGCAGGGCACCTCGGGTACCCTTTGTGCCCAAAACTCACATAGCTGTCGTCAATTTCTGTTGGTTGAGCGAAACCGAGACTTCAGAAGTCCGCAGCGGCAGTCCTTGAGAACTTGCCATTGCTCATGCTGCCCTTAGGTAACTTCCCCTGCCCACCGACTTGCTCTAGCGAAGAGCAGTTGTGCGTCCGTCCGAGCATCTTGGAAGCAGCGAGGTGATGATGCCCGGCCGCAGACAGATTTGTGTGCCCCCTGAGGCTTCGACGACCAAGGTGAGCACTTGGCTACAGAGCAGGTTTGCGTGCCTTGGCATCTACGTGACTCCATGCTGACTCCTGCTTTCTAAGGCTTTAGACTTTAGAGGACACGTCAGCTCAGGTGCCGCAGGGCGGCTCCTGCGGCTGTGGGCAAGGAGCGTTCGAATGCACTCACGGAGCTTCTCGGCTCGACACAAGGCCAGAGTTCGTAGACTTCTTATTCTTATCAGAACCATAGAGGGACTGCTCATGCCGAGGACGGCAGCTCAGAATGTCTCCCAACTGTTGGAGGCACAGCTTCGCTTGCGCCTCTTTGAGTTTGTTGTCGGACGTGCAAAAGTTGGAGACTCGGGCATCTCAGCAAGAGCCAACAGGATTCAGTCCGTAAGCATTCAAATCTCAATCATTTGGTGGTAAATCCTACACAATCAACCCGTCCGGCCCACAAGGGGCAGAACCGCGTGCGCCAAGAGCACATGTAAGGGAGTGGATATGCAAATAGAGCCACTTGCCTCTAGAGAAAGGAAGTTGCACAGTCAGACACCGGCCCGCGAGAAGTAGACGCAGTAGATGATGTACATGCACACTCCATGCGGCGCAGGCCACTGCCCTGTGTACTGCGCTGGCGGTGTCCAATGCCCCCTCGTCACCAACTTTCATCCAGACGGTGCAGAGATCGGTTCCTCGGTCGATGCTTTAGTCTGCCTTGGCGATGTCGACTTTTTGGTGATAGTCCTGTGCTTAGCTTCTGTTGATACAATCCTGTTCCGTTTGTTTTGCAAGAATGGAGGCGCAGGTCGCCGGTGACGGCCCGTGAGGGCCCGTCAGGTGTAGGAAGCTTCCCAGCGTCCTGGAGGTCAGTCGCCTCCGAGCCGTGAGTGTGCCAACACCACCTGGCAGTGTCCCTGCGGAAGTGAAGCCAAGTGGTGCGAATCCCTCGGCTGCATCTTCAAGGCTCGGAGACTGGGCTGTGGACTTTGGAGCACTGTACATTGCTTGAACTTTTTTTCGGAAATCTTGTTTCCTCATAGGAACCAATATGGATACTTTCTTGCTTGTTTATGGGGCTCTTTTTTCCGTAATGGAAGCACTGGGAATGACAATTGAGACACTTTTCTCCTTGGCGACTTCAAGGCTTGAAAACGACAAGGCCCTCGGCAAAGGCTTTAGCGACGTCCTCTTCACTCCAGTACTCGTGAAGATCGGCTTCCGACAAACGCACAGCTCAAGAAATGAATAGTTAAATCCACACAGAAAATGTGTAGAATGTGTCTGTGTGTGTGTGTGTGCGTGTATGTATATTTTTTTGTATACATATGTTTGTACCTCTGTACAAATCAGTAGTTGCATTTTCATCTGCGCATGCAGAAGCTGCAGCACACAGTCCCGGTAACAGGACGCCGATTGTCCAATGCTGTGCACCGGACAGCAGAAGCTCTGCTCCCTTGTGGACTACACTTCCGAAGGAATTTTCCTCAGTGCCGGACCCAGATTATGGCTTTCTGGTGCCGTGAGCACCCTTCAAGCTTCTGAGCGTCCGCCCCCGAGGCTATCGCGAAATCTGCATTGACGCAGACGTGCGGTGCCCCTGCGGCCTGAACACCTGGCGCTGTCCGGGGTCCGACTTGTGCCTGCTCCCGAAGCTTGTCCTGATTGGAAGAAGGCGAACTTCCGTTGCCGCGGTGTGTCTGAGAGTGGGAGATATCAACGATGTGCCCAGGTCTCAGATGGCGATCTGCCCTTGTGCTTCCTGGCTTCCCATCTGCAGTGGAACACTGCTGCACTAGTGAAACAGACGCTTCCGCATAGGCAGAAGGCCTGCGAGATCACCGATTACAGCCGCACAGGTGGGCTTTGACATGCCTCGTACAAAACGGCGAGGGTGGGCAGGTTTTCGGGGCCGAGTCACAAAGTGCGCATGGAAGCATGGATGCTACTCTTTGGTGAGGCTCTTTTCTTTTGCTGTCGATCGTCCCAGTGTGTCAAAGGGTGGTGCGCATCGCTTCGCAACTCTCTGATCAGGGATACCGGAGTCTAGCACGGTGGTGCTCTGCGTCGATCCCGAGCTGCAATGTCCTTGTGGCAAAAATGCGCCCCCTGCTTGAACTTTAGGCTTGGTCATGCTTCTACAGAGGCATTGCTTTGATGATGCAATGGTCATGTCTCTTGAGGTTGTCCTGTCCGGATCCCATGGACGCGGGCTTAATTGGTGCTCGTGGCAGCTGTTGCGGTGAAAGTCGGGTACCGGAGAGAGCATTCCAGGATTCGAGTCGCGCCATTTGCGCTCCCGAAGCCAGTGGAGACTTGGAATCGCATTGGGCACTCAAGAGTGTCAGCGGTCCGCTGGCATGTTCTTCGGGCTCTGCCTGCTGCAGAGGAGTCATTGCCAATGAATGCCCGCGGTGGTGCTCTGCTGAGCAGCTACGAGCCGGTAATGAAACCTGCACGCAGACGCCTGGATGAATTCGGGCATGCGTCGATGATTCGATGAGCGCCTTTCGTGCCAGCCTTCGCCGCGGGACCCAGGATCTTTTTGGGAGACTCGGATGCCTCCGTCTTCAAACGAACCAGCCGCTTGGCTTTGCACACGGCGTTTGAAGATGTAGATGTTCCTGTCGCAGGCTGCCGCGCTCCCGGAGACTGCAAGCCCGGCCTGAACACCAAGGCTTGTGTCGGCCTCAGATGTGACGATCCTGAGCGCCTCCACCAAAGCTCTTGCTTCAAGGTCCGTCCGGTGCCTTCCTGCCCGTTTGGCAGCCGTGCCCACTGGGCGAGGTCACGGAGGGCACGGTGAAGCAGAACCGCGCAGTTGAGGTTGCGAAGGTGTGTCTTGGACTGCAGCACGAGTACCCGACATCGGTTCTCGTGCTTTTGGACGCCCGACCCGACCCACGTTGCTCAGGTTCTGGCAATTGAAGACGTCTGAGCCCCAGTCAGCCTCGGCCTAGAGAGTGCAAGAGCCACGAATTGACGTTTGACAGAGGCTTTCTCCGAATTGGGCGGGCTCCTTGACGACGGTCCGCCTGTTTCCGGGGTTCTTCGTCCGCCGACCTTTCGCGAGTGCATGGCACATTCGCTGTCGTGCGGCCGAAAGCTGTTCAACTCGCAAGAGCCCTCGTCAGCCTTCGCTCGCAGTTGGATTGAAGCAGTGGCTCTTCCTGCTCGCGTCGTGGACACTTCTAGTGTTCAATGGGTTTTGAAACAGAATTCAAGAAGCCCCACAGCCTTTGCAGGCAGCTGTGCGACTGCAGTTTGCCCTTGCCATCCCCAGCACGACTCTTGGCTGAATTTCAGAGAGGCTGACTCGCGTCCAAGTGGTCTGTGATCCGCTGCCGTAGGACTCCTGACTAAGGATAGAGACGAGCCTGGTTCTCCTGCCAGGATCGGTCCTGATGTGACTCTGCCGCAGACTTGCTTCTCTTGCTACGAGTGGACGAGCCCTTGTGCAATCAGGTTTCAGCTCGTGGGCGAAGGCCCGGGCACAGTCAGGGCTGGCTTAATCGAGGGGCAAGTACGCGCCTGCCGTTTCAGGGCAGAGCGAAGAGGGACGCCGTCTTCAAGGAGCAGGCTCGCCAGGCGAGGAGAGGGCTGCCACCCAGCGATAGCTGCAATATTGTCATTCCTCCTTCGCCTTGTGAGGTTCTGTTCCTCGTGGCCCAAAGGAGTTTGCTGTAATCATCAGAATGCAGGCGCTGAGGTGAAAGTGGGGGAGTAGCTCAGCTTCCTGCAACGTTGGGACGAGTTCGAAGGTGCAGCAGGGCAACCCCGATGCGACAGAAGCCATAGCCCTGCTTGGTGAGCTGGACGACCGAGTGCCACTCTCAAGCTCCCTCGTACAGCTGCCACAGCTTGAAGCGGTGCATTCTTTCTGAGAGAGACAAGGCTGTTTTTCGAGCTCGTGCGACTTGGGCTGAGGTCGGTGCCAGCGTCGAGATCAGCGCAAACACCATCCAGATCGATGGTGAGGCGTGGGAAAGGAGGGCCTTGTTTACACCGCAACGCCGGGTCCCTCGCCGCGAGAAGCGCTGGCCAGAACTGATCATCAATAAGGCTTTGCGATCGGACTTTTTGAAGCCATGTCAATGTGAGATCATGTGAAGCCTGAGCGCTGTAGATCTGTCTTGCAGAAGTACTCTTCAGGCGCGACTTTGCTTCTGTGGTTTGGCGAGCGCTGATCGTCGAGAGAGCTTGTGCCTTCAATTTGGTTGCATGTGGTGCAGACGACAGCCCAGCCGACCAGCAGCTTCGGTCCTGACGGCGAGAAGGCACCTGCTTCCGACATCTGCCGACTATCCTCTTCATATTCTTCGCTGTCCTCACGTTCCATTGTGGAACAGGAGACATCTGAAGATGTAATCTTCTTGGTCTTGGTTACAGTGGCTCTCATTGTTCTGCGACTTGGCACGGCACGAATGCACTTCTGAAGGCCTGTTGTACTGGCTTGAAGTTCTGCCCGAGGTGTTGTTGCATCTGTCTCACAGCGGGCATTTGCTTCATCTACCATCGGAGGCAGTCCATCAAGAGAGCACCGACCCCGGACGTTGAAGACACCGCCGCAGTGAGATCACCCTGCTGTATACCCTCACACCCCCGGGACGGTAAGTCAGAAGCAACTTGTTTATCCTGCAACCGGGAAGTGGCGGGGAATTTCGAGTGACGAAGTTCGAAAAAAATGGTGGCTTTGTTTTCAGGCGGCAAAGATGGAAGCGAATTTGTCGTCAAAGGACGTTCGAAGGTATGTTCTTGTATAGTTGGGTTTGAGTTTCGGAGCTATTTTCCGCAGTCTAGCCAGGAAGGCCGGTGCGGGGCGGCAACTTCGGCGACAATGTTGCTTCTAACTTGCTGCCGGAAACAGGCCGCAAGCGCTTGAAACTTCGTCGCTCGGATAGCCAACCGAGCAAAACGACGCTCGGGCAAGAGTCGGCGACAAGTTCGCGTCCAAGTTAAAAATCAGGAGTAGCAAGTACAAGAGTGTCTTGCATTTTGCAAGTGTTCCTTAATGGGGTCCCTTTGGAGGAAACAAGCACTGCACATTTCAGCACCCAGGTTCTTGCAGAGGCTATGCAGCCAAGCCAGGACTGATTACGGGTTGCCAAAACCAGAGTTCCGGACGAAAATGTGTCTTGAGAGCCGTGGATCTCACAGTCTTCTGAGACGTGCCAAGGTTTAAGAGCCTTCGACTGCATGGCACCTGCGAGCTTGTTGGCATAGACTAGGCATGGTTTTCGATCTGCTGGAGAAGCTTGGCAACAACTCGTCAAACCTCAAGAGCAGAACATGTGAGAAGTCGGCGAGTTTTCAGTGCTCTCGCTGCTGTCCGCTGGCTTTGAACATTCGACGGATTTGCAGGATCCGACCCCGCAAGGACTTTTGAGTGAACGTCAGGCAGGCTTGCTTGCTGAGCTACGGTTTCGGGCTAGGGTTTAGGGTTCAGGGTTCAAGGCTTAGAGGTGCAGGCGCGTTTCAGGCTGTGGCTCTAAGCCAGTGAGCTCGGGCAACAGATTTGCAGGCTCAAGCCCCGGAGGTGCTTCAAATTGCCCGGCAGGCTGGCTGCGTTCCGGCAGTTTCCACGCAGTGCCAACGTTTCGAACTTCAGAGATTGATCCTGTTGTGCGGTTTGCACTCAGTCCTTGCATTCCCTGTGGCAGCTCGACCTTTACTTCATGGGCGCACCTAACAAGTCCAAAGCCTTTCGTTTGACAGCGCTGGACCTAGGAGTTTGTTGCTCTGGCTGCTTGCAGTGTCCTTGTCTGGTCGAATTTGCCAGGCTCCTTCAGCTGATCCCACTGATCCACCCCAGCTTGGAGCCACAGAGGCGATCATAAGAAGAACGGTGAATCAGGGTTGAAGGTTGTGTAGCACAGTAGCAAGTGACTCGCGCGTCCTCTGTCACTGAGCCCCTTTTTGACATATAGCCGGATGCAGATTTTTGGCGGTCCTTGCGAGGAGCCGAGTGGGGTTTAGTCGGGTAATTGAATTATGTCGGTTGACATTCATAGGACACGTGCTCAGCAACTGCTCTGCCGCAGGCTCGGACTGCAATGTTCTCCGCGCGATTCAACGCCAGGAACAAGGACACCGAAATGAAATTCCGAGCGGTGTGCGAGCTGCTGCGTGCTCGTGACCTCAAGATTCTCATGGTGGATGCAGAGGAAGGAGACGATTTCGGTATGTTGACACTGAGTTACTTGCAGCAACTGAAAGATGACAACGGCGTGATGCTCGCAGTTTGCACGTCAGACTACGCAGAGATTACCTCCAGCCCCTACTCCTCCTACGCTGAGCTGCGGTTCGCTCTGCAGAACAATATCGACGTCCTGCCTCTGATGGTCGACAAAGACATCTACCCGCCTCGGCCGCCGTCGGGTGAAGACCACAAGTTTGATAAAACAGGAGTCGCCAAAGGCTTGGTATCGATGGTCATGCACAGCTCCTTGGTGTTCTTGGACTGCACGAACAAGACGGAGGACGCCCCGAGCATGCTCTTGTCAGACACGACCCAGAAGCTCGCACTAACTAAATCTCTGCGAGGAGCAAATCGCGGACAGAATCGAAGCGAAGCTGAGGGCTGCTTCATCAAAGCAAGGCAGCAGACCCAGTGCAGGCAAAATTGTAGAGGCAAGCCCCACCAAAAAGCCGTAAAATCCTAGATTCCTGGTCTCTAGCCGCTAGCCTAAACCGCCTTTCACAGCCCAGGCCATGGAGCTGGCTGAAGGCCGCGCTTTCGCTCTTCAAGGCAGTAGAAGCTTGAGGATGAGGCCCCCCCAAAGAAGGTACTCGTACCTCGGAATGACATGCCTTCAAAGGAGCCTGAGCTGAGTCAAAATCCTGAAGAATTCCCGAGTCGCCAGACCTGATACATCCGTTCTCAGACGGTTCTCTGAAAGAACAATTCAAGTTTCGACTCAGTTGCAGCTTGATCCTGCATGTGGGTTTCATGTGCGGCTGAGATGTCGACTCTAGATGCAGTCGCAGGATCACACCTTGCAATCCGAAGCCTTACAGCCAAAACATCGGCGTGCCTTGTTCCCGGTTCGCTGAACGGATGTCGCTGCCGCGGCTGCTGCAATGGCAATCGCCCGATTCTCGAAGAGATCTTCAAATTTGTCAGAACCTGCAGCCAGCCTCTGAACGGCTAATTCCTACAGCACATGTATGTTCATATTATGCAGTTGCAGACTTGTGTTGGGCTCAGTAGGCTCAGCTTCGCATTTTGCCAGTCTCCCACCTGTCGGAAGGGGAAAAGGAATTTGTCTTATGCCGGTGCGGGCATCAAGTGCACGCGGCTGTCTTTCGAGTCACTTCGAAGCTGTACGGACCACTTAGAGGACGGGAGAGAACAAGTCAGGCTATAAGCACATTAATTGAGGTTACAGGCAGTTATTACTATGGCTGCCTTTCTGACAACCCTACTCACTGCCCTGATCCTCTAAGTTACAGCTTGTGCTCTGATCGATCGTCGATCGCCGATCAGACTCAGGGCAACTGGCATGGCAATGGGAAGTCCCATGAGCTAGCCTCAAAGCTCGGAAGCTGTTGGGTTTGTGGATTCAGGGTTTGGGGCTTTGATGTTGGATTCATTCAAGTATATTCTGGGATATGTTTATCAAAGAAGCGTAGAGAGACTCTTCCAAAGAGCACATGGGACTTGCACCCTGCCAGATGTGGCGCTCTAGAGCGACAACTGCTTCGGCACCTGCCCAGTGCCCGAAGTCATGACAAGCTTTTCTGATAGATCCTCGGTCAGAGTCTAGGGCCGTAATTAGGGTTTAGGAGCTTAGGGTCCTGTACAAAGCAACGGGGAAAAAACCCTTTGGAGGAAAAAACCGGAAGCCCCGGCCAGGCCCGCAGAACCGCAGAACCCCCCGAGTCAAGAAGGGAACGGACCCGGGCCACGCAACCCGCAACTCGTTCTTTTGCATTTGTTGTTTCGAAATGTGTGGCAAACTGTTGACATTTTGCCCGTGCTGGACTTACGCACGTTTGCAGAAACAGGTCCCGCAACTCAATATCAGATATCACCTGTGCTGGTGACACATTTGTGACATCTACTGATATCCTTCCTTGATCAGAGGGTTCGCAGATGTGACGCTTGTTGGCAATGCCGTAGCCGGATTCCGATGCATCAATTTGGGCTCCAGGACAGATTGAGGTCGTCGGGTCCGAAGCGCTCCGAGTCACTTCGGCGCACTAAATCCGGTAACTGTAGGCTGACACACCAAGCAGGAGGTTCAATCTGCCCATGCCTCTAAGTGGAGCTCCCTGTTAAGTTGGCCCGCACAGCGCGTTTTGAGTCTTGGCCGCAGTTCTGCACGAAGCCACTTAGCCATGCAGCCTGCGCGGTTCTGTCTGGGTCGATGCTTCAAGGCCGGGTTGTTATTCCATGGGGGGTATTTTTGCCTGCTGCTCAGCTTTAACTCAGTGGGCATGAAGTAGGGGTTCAGAGCACAACAAGAACAGAAAATCAGCAACAAGACACAACAATCCACAACCAAAACAAACACATGCAACTAACTAGTGATTCTTTTCTCTGGGTGGGAGGCTTAGGCACACTGCAGCCTGCAGGTGACTTGTGCTGACGTTCTTGCAGCGGCTCTGCAGCACAGTAGGGTTTAGGGTTTAGGGTTTAGGGTTTCGGGTTTCGGGTTTCGGGTTTCGGGTTTCGGGTTTCGGGGTTCGGGTTTCGGGTTTCGGGTTTCG